TGGACAACCGGGCCATTTCGAATCTAACCGGTTGATCACTTGCAAATAATTTCCCATTCCCTTGACTTTTTTTTTGAGCGCCAACACCTAAAGGACCACGAGCCGCTGGGTATGGACTTCCAGACGAGCAATCGTGTTAAACGGGCCACAGGCCGTTGGGTACATACTCCATACGGACAACTAGGCTAAAGACTAACGGGCCGCTAGGAATGAACGTCTAGACGGACACCTTGACAAATGAGGTGGGCCAAAACCTGCTCTGATATCATGATAGAATTTGGGATGGGTATGTGGACAACTAGATTGGGTAATAAGACACTTGGGTTGAACCACATTAAAAGATTGATTCCAATCGATTACTTAGTTCAAGTCAAGAGCTTATATACCGATTTATTTTCACTACAAGTTCCGGTGTGAGATAGACTCCAACAAACATTTTAGCAAATGAGGTGGACTAAAATTGACTTCAATACTATGATAAAATTCACGATGAGGAAATGATTATTGGATTGAGATATAAGACATTTGAGCTTAATAAGGTTAAAAGTTTTCATAACTTTTGTTTGTTTGGTTAGTATTTAGAAAGTTTGAGCACGAAAGTCAAGCTGAGAAGCTAATTTTAGAACGGTAGAAGTAATTGTTTTGAGACCTACGACTCGATAACTTTTGTTTGTGTATTTTTATATTTGATTAGTTGATAAAATAAATTATTTTTGTCATATTTTTTGTAAAATTTGTTATATAGTTTTTTAGAATGTAATTTTATTAATTATTGTAATACCAGTTTTTAAATAAATTAATTTTAAAAAATGTGGAGTTTTTCTTGGTAAATGAGAAATTGTCTAATTTGGTGGGAGAGGGTATAAGTTCTTTAAAGCTAAATAAAGAATTTAAATTTAATTTCTCTTTGCTCATAATGATGTGACTTTTAGTATTCCATAGAATTCATACGGACTAGTAGATTCTTTCTTCCAACTCAGTGTCACGTTATTTTTTTTCTTTTTCTTTCCTTTCCCTTCCTTTTCTTTGGAAATACTTTCCTCTTTTCCCTTCATTTTTTATTTTTATTTTACAATACTTATTTTAATTCATATAGTTAAACTAAAAACACAAAAACAATAAAAATTTGCCTCAAACATTTAAAGTTATACATTTAAATTAAATTAAAAGTAATAATAAAATTGATACATTAATGTAATTTAGACAGAATAAAAAATATTGACATACAATTCATATTTCCAATAAAAACGTTAACATAAATTATATTTAAAAAATAACTTCGAAATCTAATCATCGAAACTTAATCATCGGAAGCAATTGGTGGAGCAAAATGTGAAGTGTGAAAAATATGAGTTGAGTGTTGTGTTTAAATAGTGAGAATTTTATAAAATCTTTATTTTTTTAACTTAATGGCTAAGTTTCAAAAAAAAAAGTCGACGTTTGCCATCGGGAAAAACGGGATGGCCACGGTTTCCCCTCTCATTCCCCCTATTAAAAATTGATATTTTAAAACAATATTTTAATATAAACCAGCTTTACTAAATTTACATTATAACTATATAGGCTAAAATCCATCATTGGTCCTTCAACTTTATCAGTTGTGTACGATTGGTCCTTCAAGTTTCAAAAGTCCATAAATAGTCCTTCAACTTTCTGAGTTCTGCACCATTGGCCGTACGTCCTTCAAGTTTCAAAAGTCCATAAGTAGTCCTTCAAGTACACGTCAGCCCTCCATATGAAGTCTTTTTTACAGTAAATATTAAAAGTTAAACGAAACACTAGTTTCATATAATACGAGTAAATTCCACTAGGTACGACTACTCCGTATTATATGGAGCTAGGATTCCATTTAACTTTTAACATTTACTGTCAAAAGGACTTCATCTGGAGGGCTAACGTGTACTTGAAGGACTATTTATGCACTTTTAAAACTTGAAGGACCAATCGTGCAAAACTTATAAAGTTGAAGGACTATTTATGGACTTTTAAAACTTGAAGGACCAATCATGCACAATTGATATAGTTGAAGGACCAACGGTGGAGTTTAGCCTAACTATATACTTTTTTCATAATTTGCGGTCAAAGGGCTCCAGAATTTGACTTAAAAAGTCAAGTTGTGGCAATCTTTTAGGGACAGAGGGAATATCAGTTTCCAAAAAACTTAATAATTCATTCGTCTAAAAAAGATTCTTTATTTCTTTTTTAGACGTTCCAAAAAAATACTACTTTTTTTTTTTGACAACTCTGGGGGGTGGCTTACAATTTTTCTCTCTCTTCTGCGTTTTTTCAACAACACATTTTTATTTTGTGAAATTTACACTAAATAAGACTAAAACATAATGTCTTTCTAATGTAGAACTTAAACTTTTTTATTCTCTAAATAGGACTTAATAATGACCTTGTGGAAGGAATAACGTCCAGTAATGATGGACATTTAGTTGAATAATGACTACTTGATAATGACCAAAGGTCCTACATTGGAAAATAAAAACATATGGTCCTATATTGGGAAAGTCATTATGTTTTAGTCCTATTTAGGTAAATTTTTCTTTTGTTTTTCTTAAACTTAGAGTTAAGTCAAATCAAGAGTCTTTTTTGGATGGAGGGAGTAATTAATTTTTATTTTTTGTCAACTAATATGCCACCTAAGAGACTTGCTCATCTCTCGTGTCGAGTCAAATTAGAGTGTTCACTTCATATCTTTGTTGACATAACGATTGTCTTGGGAAGTAACCACAAAACTCACTAGATTATGTTCTTTCTTGAGTAATCTCTAGGACTCCTTGTTGGGAAATAGTTGCGGACACTCGACTCTGGGCGATAGAGGCTCTACGCTATGAATATTGGACCATAAGCTTTCATAACCTTCATCCTTCAATCCTATTAGAAATTGGTGCACTTTCTCTCCATTACATTTTTTTTCCAAAGAAAAATGGAAATGCCACACTTGCTCTTGTGACATTTTTCAGTAGAGATTTTCTCATAATCATCGAGTTCATCCTATATGCCTTTGAGCTTTCTGAAGGATACCACGACAAGATATCGATTTTATTTACAATTTTCCAACTCATTATTGACTAGATGTATACACGGGCTATTCGCCATGAAAAACATGTCTTTAATTTGTTGCGTTTTCAACTTGTGTTAAAGGGTTTGACATCATTCCTTCTATGGTATTGTAAATTCTTGACACTAGTATAACATTCACAATCCACCACCCTTTTGCATGTTCATCATCTTCTGGTCAAGGGATGGATTCGTCAACGAATCCAAACTTTTGTTCAGCGTGAAGAGCGACTCGCGTTGTCTGCACCCATTCTTCATAATGATCTGTAGAAAATTTGACTTGTTTGATAATTAATCCAGGTGTATCCACATTTTTAATTCATACGAACTCACCTTTATTGAAGCTTTCTCATCTTCAATTGATTTCTTGTCGGTTGTGGAAGACTTTTCTTCCTCTACCATTATTGTCATCGACGGGTCATGCAACGCAATAGTAGACCGTTGGGACTCACTTACACTGGAACTTGAACGGTCGAGCTACTAGACCGTTACAAGTTGACGGTTGACCGTCATGATCCCAAGTTTTGCTTTGATACCACGATGAATATGAAGCTTAAAGAGTGAAGAAGTTTATCTCTTGTACATTTCCTTCACCACATAGCACACCTGTATATATGAAAAAAAAGAAGAAAAGCTAGCTTACATATAAAGTTAAAAAAACTAGCCACTCATCCGTAATCACATGCAAGATTACAAATAAAAGACCATTAAATAGTAAAAGTAAATTGCTACTCCGTACTAAATAGTACTCTCTTTATCCCGAAAGGATTAGCAGAGTTAGATTTTTTTGGACAGACATGCATCACTTTGATCATAAATTAAATATAGTTTTAAATAGTTAAATATTATAACAATTTGATACATCAAAACTTTATATTAAAATAGACCCAGTTCTGGTCAAAATGTTAAATGTCTCCCTATGGAGCAAATCATGCATATACACACCATCTCCAAACCCTACTCTTGTCGTGGAGTCCAACTAAGTTATTATTGTTGTTATTATTGCGTCTAGTCAAAGTATTATGTGGTTTGACCATAAAAGTCAAACTGTACTTTTTTAGACGGGGAGACTAAAAGAAAGGAATCAATCCAAAACCTTTCACCAAATCTCTTTTATCATACTTCCACATGTAACACTTTCAAATCTCATAACACTATTTTGGCATGATGGAATTTGTGTAAAAAGAAAAAGACCACAAGTTAATTGTTTACTTTATTGTTGAAGACGTCTTGTTTCAACACCCTATAGAAAGTTGGTAAATTATATGGTACATCTAGCTGTACCTTCTTTTAGGTACAGTCTGGTATTTTTGTAAATTTTGCAAACCTTTTATCCAATGTCCAGAACATATATGAGAACTATTATATATGACAATGAGTACCAACAGATTTGAGACGGAGTACCAACACTTATGAGAATTATCATATTCTTATTCAATACAAACATGAATAAACATAGGTTTTAAATTCTCCATGCTCAGAGAGTATAAATGAGTAGAAACGAATCGAATAGAGAAAGATCCAACGAAAAGGGTATGGATGAAAAAGTTGATGATGGTACTGAACTTTTTAATTGTGAAAAAATTGAACAATACTTTATTTCAGAATGAACATTTCCTTATTTGAGAATGAGTATTGTTTTTTAAAAATGAACACTACGCTATTTATTATAATTATATTTGATAAATGTGTAAAAATGAGTATTTCTTTATTTTAAAATGAGTACTACCTTTGTCAGAATGAGTACTACGTATTTCAAAATGAATGTTTATATTTGTACGAGAATGAGTACTACTTTATTTCAGAATGAGTACTACCGGCATATACCTATTTCTAGGTACATCCGGATGTACCATATACCAACTCTAAAAAGTGCATTTGATAATGATTGCAAATTATACTTTTTTCACGTATTGAATGAGACTTCAATTCTACAAACAACTTTTTTCAATATTATTCTCAACTGAGTCCAAAAAAAGCCGCCTATATTACACTACACTTGCCATTGCCAGCCCCACTCTGGCACTAACAACCATGGCCAATCCGCGCTCCATTTTCGCCATTACTTATCTGTTAGCTCTTCTGATCTGTCACGGCGTCTCCGGTCGCCGGGCGCCGCCGCTGTTCGAGTCCGCTTCGCCGTCCTCCGTCCCTGCGCCGATTTCAAGGCGCAATATGCTCGCCAATAGCTTCGGCCTCACTCCTCCTATGGGGTAATCGAGCTCTTGTTGTGTTTGAATTCGGCTAGCTTGTTCATTTTCATTGACTCGATTTTTGTTGATGATTATTGTTTGTTTCTTCAGCTGGAACAGCTGGAACCATTTTGCTTGCAATGTTGATGAGAAAATCATCAAAGCGGCCGGTAATCTTTCAAATTCTTATTGCTGCTTGCTTCTTTAGATCTCTAGTTATTGTCTTAATCCTCTTCGGTCAGATCTCATCTCAGAGATTGAGATGTTTTAAGCTTCTTAGTGTATTTTTTTATTGGTTTTTTTTCATTTCATCGCAGCTGATGCTCTTGTTTCAACTGGTCTTGCTAAGCTTGGGTATAGATATGTCAATATAGGTAAGAATCTTCATAATTTCTTGTTTCGGTCTTAGTTCGTATCACCTATGTTGGCAAGCCTTGCACCATATCTCGGTTATGTTTGGTGAGCAACTTATTATGGATTATGATGATGGTGTATAGTTGAAGATCTTGTTACTTAATCTATATAGTTTTTGGATTCCGATTAGATAGAGTCATAGTTCACCAAGAGTTTGTTTTTTTTATTTGTAATTGAACCTCAGATGATTGCTGGGCTGAAATCAACCGCGATGACCAGGTAATCTCTAGTGGTTGAATCTTTCCATTTTTTTCCTGAATCTGAATGTGGACACTTTTTGGTGGATGTTGTGTTGGGTTTGTGGAGGCTTGGGCTTGATTTGTAGGCCCGGCCCGTTTGTTGTAACCCTAGTTGCGCTCTTCCTATATATATTGCATACTTGTACTTGTAATCGGTACCACAAGTGAAATAAGAAAGTCCTCCTGTTGCAGCCGTGGATTAGGGAAACCGAACCACGTTAAATTCTTGTGTGTCGTTTGTGTTCCGTTTCTCTCTTGATTCTCGCAGATATTTGTGTGTGTTGTGTGTTTTAATTCCCAACATGTTGTTCTCTGCTTGGATTGATTGAATTCCAGGGTAATCTGGTTCCTAAGAATTCAACATTCCCCTCCGGGATTAAAGCCCTCGCAGAATATGTGCACAGTAAGAACCTTAAGCTAGGAATCTACTCAAGTGCAGGGTAATTGCTTGAAATCATTCGAACTTCAATCTTGTGATGAGGTGGATTTACCAATTAACTGTTGTTTTCTTTTATTTGCAGATATCTCACTTGCAGCAAAACAATGCCTGGTTCACTCGGTTATGAAGAGCAAGATGCTAGAACTTTTGCAAATTGGGTAAAGCTTATTATTGTTGTTCTTCAAGATTGCATCATTTGAACTTTTTGAAAATCAGAATTGTTGGCATTTATTTGGATCCGATTGATAGTAAGGCACAACCTGCTTCTACAGGGTATAGATTATTTGAAGTATGACAACTGTAACCATGATGGATCTAAGCCAACCGTGAGGTAATCCCACGATTTCATCAGAATTGACCTAATATACGCGTATTATATGGCTGTCCGACTAAATGGTTCTGCCTTTCCTTGGCTGGTTCTAGATTTCCTGTTATGACCAGAGCTTTAATGAAGGCTGGACGCCGGATCTTCTATAGTCTATGTGAATGGTAATTGTTCTATTATCACACTTGCCTCTCCAACCTTTTTATGTGGGGTAAGGTTTCATTAAATTCACCCTCTCCAAACAGACAAACCGCAAGTGTAGGACCATGCTAGGTTGGCGTTGTTGTTGCTCTAATACTATAGTTAAGGCTTTTGCTTGACTCCTAGATTCTGCGTATTCTGTATTTATGTCCCCCCTCCCTCCCTCAATGTATTGTAGGGGTGATATGCACCCGGCTCTATGGGGCTATACAGTGGGAAATAGCTGGAGAACCACAAATGACATTGCAGATACATGGGATAGGTAAGAGTTTGTATAGTTCTTCTAACCATTGAAGTCTGCCTAGTATGAATGTTCATCTCCTGTGTGCACACAGATCTTGTTTGAAATTTGAATGCTTTCCTCCATAATTTTGTTTAGTTATGGTTATGTGACAGCATGATCTCAAGAGCAGATCAGAATGAGGTTTATGCCGAGTATGCAAGGCCTGGGGGTTGGAATGGTTAGTACTAGTTGACCTGTCAATGCAATGGGTTGGGTCTAGGTCGGAATAGACATTTCCAGACCCTTACCTGTTTCTAACGGGATAACCCGAGACATATGTGGTCTATCATTCATGTTCATAGGCCTCCTGTTAACTATTTTTAAAATGAGTCTGAATTCATGTCGGATAAACTAAATTAAATGGATACCTATACCTGGACCTGTTCAGGACTTGATCCAAACCCAGCCCATTGACAGGCATAAGCATTAGGCATTAACCTTACATTATTTTTGCACTTGATGGATAAGAAGTTGGCTTAGACGAGCTGTGATCATCACCAGATCCTGACATGCTTGAAGTTGGAAATGGGGGAATGACAAATGATGAATATGTAATCCACTTTAGTTTATGGGCCATTTCAAAGGTACTTCAATAGAGAACTCAAAACGTGTGTTTCCTTATTTCTGTCATAATAGAGTTTTACCCTTTGTGCTGATATTAATAACTGTTGCTCTTAATTTTGTTTTAGGCTCCTCTCATTATTGGCTGTGATGTGAGAAATGTTACAAAAGAGACGCTCCGAATTCTTACAAACAGGGAGGTGATAGCTGTGAATCAAGGTATTTCTGATGTTTATTGTCATGTATCCTCTAGGATCAACCCAATCAAGGACTAAAAGAGTAACTGAAAATTTCACATTTCCCTTCATTAGATTCGCACGGTGTCCAGGCAAAAAAGGTTAGAATGGAAGGTGATATTGAGGTAAGGGCATACAATCTCTTGTGTTTTAGCATTTGGTGGCTTAAGGCTCCTCCTTTTCATCCCACCCCCACCCCCACCCCCCCCCCTCTCCCTCCTTTTGCCTTGGATAGATTTGGGCTGGGCCGCTTTCAGGCTACCGCGTAGCTGTTGTCCTCTTAAACCGTGGCCCCATCCGGTACCCGATAACAGCAGAGTGGGATGACATTGGAATTCCTCTTAAAAGCACTGTAGTTGTACGAGACCTTTGGGAGGTGAGTAAAGCATGTTCGCTTAACACTTGAGTATAATTTTCACTCTCATTTCTCTAGTGCCTCATTTCCAAGTCGCATATCCCTCCCTATTGTAAATATTTTATTCAAGAGTCATGCTAAGGATCACACCAGGTTTGACACCAAAAGTTTGATACCAAGTGTTTAAGACGTACATACGTTTATTCTTTGTGCATGTATGCGAAACATTAGTTTCAAATTCTTGGTGTCAAACTTGGTGGGTTTCTAGCGTTTTTGTTTATTCAACGTACGTATTTGATGTGCAGCACAAGACATTGAGGACAAGATTTGACGGGAATTTTACAGCGACTGTGAACCCTCATGCTTGCAAGATGTACATTTTCAAGCCTGTTGGTTAAGAGTTCCATAGTAAATTGATGATGTCTGAATAAATGCAAGTCAAGTGACTCTTTTTTTCAAGATTTCAGATCATCAAAAAAAAAAAAAACTGAAAAGTGAAGGAATTGATTCTGTGCCAATGGAGTGTGCTGTGTGCAATCTGGTTTTTTTGGGCGCAAAAGAAAAAAATAGGAAAAAAAGAGCTTGCCATATACTCCCTCCGTCCCAAAATATTCACAACATTTGCTTTTTCAGCAGTGTCGGGAACTTTTGTTTATTTCAACGTTTTCATTGATTATTTGATAAAATAAAATATTCTTGACACCTCTTATTTCGAAGAACTTTTCATGTAGTTTTTTTATATGTAAATTTTATTTTTTATTTCTTTACCAATATGTAAATAAAATGAATTGAAAAAACTTGATATTTTGTCTCGGAAATACAAATGTGGCAAATAATTTGGGACGGAGGGAGTAATGTTTTTGGTTCAATAAAATTGCACCCTGCGTGTATTTCTTGAAACTTGTTCATAATGTTATTTATCAGTGATTCCAAACTTGGATGCATTTGTTAAACTTATACTCTGTGAATACTTCTGTCGTTTAAGATTACTTGTCTTTTTAAGATTTACTTTTGCATACATTTGTTCACAAATTACAATTTGTTAAAAAAAACTCCATGCACACAATTTATTTCATATTCCCTCTGTCCGCAAATAAACTTCTCGTTGCGCATTACGATGTTTGACTGAAGTATTTTCAAATCATTTTATATGAAAGATGGTGTAAATTTTAAAAATAAAAATTACATATTAAAAAACTATATCAAAATATCTACAAAACTAGAGGTGACATGACCATATTATTTTATCAAATGCGTGACGAAAATAGGCCAACAAAGTAAATAAAGTTTGACCATGTGAATAGCGAACAGGATTTGTAGACGGAAGGAGTACTCTTTAGTAATTGCTTTTTTAGAGTCTCGCATGTTCTAATTTGATCATTAATATTTTTACTTAAATATAAATATATATGATAAAAATATGATAGTTTAATGTTAGGTTTCAAATCAAATATATTGATACTATATTCATATCATATCACAATATATTTTTTCTATATTTTGTGGTTAAGATTTAAAATTATTAACCAATAAATGTCAAATGGGAAAAGAAATATGGGACAGAAGAAGTAATATATTCTCCTTCTGTGTCAAAAAAAAGCTCTCATTTCTTTTTCAACACATCTTGTAAAAATTTCTTTTTTTTCCATTTTATGAAAAAACTTTGTAGTTCATATTGTTTCTCTTTTTTGCATGTCGGTTAGTCACACAATTTCACTTTTTTAGACTTCGGGTCGGGTTCTACTATAACTTTTTTTGGGGGACGAGGAATATATTTACTTCGTCTCAAAAAGAACTTTTGTTTGACTTCACCAATTCTAAGGAAAATATTGAATGTTTGATGAAAAATAAAATGTGTATAGTAACTAGTTAGAATATATTTTTGAAGATAAAAAAAATGATAAGAGCCAAAAGTTTTAAGATGTGTAAAAGGAAATTAGAAAAGTGTAAAATTCTCTTTGAAATACTCTAGATAGAAAGTATAGGTCTAAAGGAAAGATATAGGCAATAGGCCCGGTCTCGGAAGTGTTTGTGCTTTCGATTACAATCACTTCACGTTTTATTTTTGAGTATTGTGAATTCATGTTTGTGTTAGTTCCATATTGTGTTGGCATTATTTTTTGACAAATGAATAGATTTAGCCAGAATTATTTTAGATATTTTATTTAGACTTAGAGTTCTAGCATGTAAACAAAAAGAAAGAGGGAAGTGCTTGAAGAAAGAAGTCTAATCCTAATTGGTTTACTATTCTTGAGGAGGAAGACATGGTTGAGACTCCTAAGCACACTTTAACAAGGTTAATATGCTCTATATATTATCTTCACCCTCCCTTAGGGTTTTGGACGTGAAAAACTAAGAAAAACCTGAAGCAAATCCAATCAAAAGAAAAACGTGCAGATTTAGAAACTGTAAATTTTCTGGACACCCCGCACAGATTTGCTGAAATTTTCGGAGAGTGTTCCCAACACATAGGGCTTCAACGTGTTCAAATTTCACGTCAATCAGAGTTACGGATCTTCTGTTATTGAAGTTACAATCTACACATTGTTGCTGATTTTTCGCAAAAAATGCAGCCCTGGTTTTCTCGGTGGTTGGAGTATCAAATCTTGTCCGATCGTGCTGAAATTTTAGGAGGAGCCTAGGGACTCGTGGAGCTTCAATCTGAACGGTGGAGATCAAATTTCAACGGTTCAATCTCGAGTTATGAGCTTCTGAACAGCCTGCATATTTTTGTAGATCAAGGAGAATCTTTATTTGAAGGTGTATTGGAATCTACGTCCTTGAAGAAGATCTTTGAGAAGGTGTAACAAGCCGTGGAGATAGACGCAAACCAAGTTTGTCGTCAAGTCATTCGTAAGTAGACAAATCAATACATTAGAAGGTTCTGTTGTGATTGATTGTGTAATTCTTACGATGATTTAGTGAAAGGGCTATTACACAGACGTGGGCCTTGCAGACGCAGGAGAATTTGCTCCGAACTGCGTGAACAATTACGGTGTCTTGCTTGCTGTTTTTGCTGTATATTTTACGTGTGTGCTTGTGACAGAGAAGGTATTACAACACTCTGTCAGTCATCTGTTACTGTGACAGTGCTTGATAATGCGTGGCACATGTCATAGGTGAGATCGAGTAATTGAATTAAAATCTTTCACGACATTAAGTCCATTGCCTTCCGGAGATAGTATCGGATCAATTTGTATCAACAATGTTGTAATTAGGAATGTCTAAAAGATTTTTTGTGATATTTGGAAGCCTTGTGAAATTTTTATACATTTAGAGCATGTTCTAAATGTATTATTCATACTTTTTTCGTAATTGCTTTTTAGGTCTCATGCTCTACTTTGATTATTAATATCTTTACTTATATATAAATATATATATGATAAAAATATTGTATTTTTAAAATTAGATTTCAGAATGAATCTATTAATATTATATTTATATCATATCACAATATATTTTTCTATATTGTATGGTTAAAGTTTTAAATTATTGACTAAGAAATGTCAAACAAGAAAAAAAATTATGCGATAGTGGAAGTAATATACACTCTCTCCGTGTTAACTTTTTTCCTAGCTTGAGTAGTAGGAAGCTTACTCCCTTAGGTTAATGGAGGAATGTTCACCCAAGTTCGAACTTTTGCAGAGGCGAAGATATTGACTCTTTGTGCGTCATTAGGTTGAGAAAAGTATGAACATGTACTACATTGTAATCAAGTTTATTGGATGAGTGAATAATTGTATTGATTAAGAAAATTTGGAGGATACAAGAGTATATATATATATAGGAGAGATTCCAAACATATCAAGGAATCATAAAAGGTAGCTCACTAATATACCAAGACTACCATAAATAATACGTATCTATTATAATTGTCTAGCATCCCCCTCTCAAGCTGAACTCGGTGTAACGAGTGGAAGCTTGGATACTAGACTCTAGAAGCGCGGAGAAGGCAAAGCTTTAGCCTACAAGTCAGCGAGCTGATCTTAGAGAAGACATGTGATACACTCATAGTTCCAGCAATAACTACTTGTTCTCGAAAAAAGTGGCAGTCAGTTCCCACATGTTTCATGCGCTTATGGAAAATAGGATTCTTTGTAAGGCATATAGCAGACTAATAACAACAGAGAAGATGAGGTGGAGGAGTAGAGACACGCAGATCAGCCAAGATATAGGTCAACCACATGACTTTGGTTGCAGCAACAGATAGCGCACGATACTCGACCTTAGTTGATGATTTTGACACACGTGTCTATTTTTGAGTACTCCAGGAAACCAAGTTTGGCCTCAAATAGATAAGATACCCAGTAATTGAGCGTCCATCAGTCATATCATTTTTCCAATCTGAATCAGAATAGGCACGTAGCTCAAGGTCACCAGCTTAAAAGACTAGACCCCAATCAAGTGTTCATTTAACAAAACGCAGGATCTGCTTTAAACTTTGAAAAATCATTTTCTGTAGGAGCCTACATATTTTTACAAACATAGTTGATGTTAAACTGGATATCTAGGCGAGTAGTAGTGAGATACTGGAGGCCACAAACTAGACTGCGAAACAAAGTACGATCGGCAAAAGGATTCTCACCCCCTCCTCGACCATCGGCCGTATGGGCAAAGGTGTAGGTGACAGTCGGCTGTCAGCCATTCCTGAATGGTAGAGTAGCTCGTTTGCTAATTTTTGTTGAGAAAGCACAAGCGTGGACCATGTATGAGATACCTCGAGCCCAATAAAGTAGTCAAGAGGACCAAGATCTTTTGTCCAAAACTCCTTACACATGCAATCAATAAACTGTTGAACAAGTGCAGAGGAACTGCCTGTGACGATAATATCATCCACATAGACAAGTTATATAAGAGTGCTTGTTGAGTTATGTATAATAAAGAAGCTAGTGTCATGCGCATTATTTCGAAAACCATAAGCCAAGATGAAGGTAGAGAGTCGCAGATACAATGCCCTTGGTGCCTGTTTAAGGCCATACAAGGGCTTTGTGAGTTTACAAACATGCATAGGGAAACACGGGTCAACATAGCCTGGTAGTTGAACCATATAAAGATTTGCATCAAATTCACCATGTAAAAAGGCATTGGAGGCATCTAATTGCTGATGGGGCCATTGATAAAAAAGAGCAAGAGCAAAGTCTAACCAGATTTTCTGCTGCTTAAAAACCCGAGTAAAAGTCTTAGATTAATAATCATACTCTTGAGTGTACCCTTTGGAAACCAAGCACACCTTAACATGCGAGATGGACCCATGAGCATTACGCTTTATTTTTTATATCCATTTACACCCAATTGGAAATTGACCCTTAGGCCTGGGGACAAGAACCCATGTTTTTGGATTGAACAAGGCTAAGTATTCCTCATCCATAGCACGACAACAGTACTCATTTTGGGGCGCCTCTTTATAGGTAGTAGGCTCAGTAACATGAGGGGAGCAATAAGGGTGAAGGGCATAGAGTTTAGGTTTGAAGATGCCACATTTAACAAGGGTGATCATGGGATGAGTGGATTGTGGGGGAGGGGTGCCGTAGCATGGGGTGGGCTGGGAATGATGGCTGAATGAGCGTCCAGGTTAGGGATGGGTGTTTTAAGAGCTGTAATGAGTGGTATTTCTTGTGGGGTGGGTGAAGGTACGTGGTGCAGTCGATGGTGTATTGGGTGGGATTGTACTGGCGTTGGTTTGGGATGGTGTGGTCCAGAAGGAAGAGCGTAGGGCCATAAACCCGGGCAGTATTTGTTAATTTATTTGGGTTGGCCCAAACATATTAATAATATTTGACACCCAACCCAACAGCCCATTTACTCAAGCCCAACCTTTATTCCTAACCTAATTAAGCTTACCTTAATTAGCTCCAAAATCTCTACTATAAATTGAGGCTTCCCCTTCTAGTTTTCAACCGTGGAAAAAACATCCCTTCTATTTGTGAGTTCTTTATGTGATATTTCTCTTCCTCTCTCAGTTCTTCTCCGTTTCTTTGTGAGTGGAGTGTGGCAATGTTGAGTTGGGGTGTTACTCCTTCTGGTACCCTTGTAGGGCACAACTACGGACCGAATTTTACGGGTGACCTGAGCCTAATCGGAATAAATAAATACACACAACAGTGGTATCAGAGCCTACTTTGTGCTCAGTATTTATTTATTTTCGTGGGGTGTTCCTTTTTTTCTCTTTTCAGATCTAATATGGAGATTTGTTTTTTTCTTCCTTTCCTTCGGTCAAACTCTCAATCCCTTAGAGCACTGGTAATACTCATCACGCCCGCCGGCGTGTACGGGCGTTTAACGCCCCGGGGGCGTGAAACACCGCCCCCCTCCGGCGTTAAAGGGGCGTGATCCGGCGTGCGTCAAATGAATGACGCAGCGTCATTCGTCTCCCCCTCCCCCCCTAACGGCTCTTTGAGCCGTTGCACCCCCCAATTCAAAAAAAAAAAATTTTATAAATTCAAACCCCCCCTTCCCAATATATCACACCATCTCCATCTTCAATCTCTTCTTATTCCCAATTTTTAAATTTCAAAATTCAAACCCCCTCCCAATTTTCAACATGAATCCTTCCGGCTCCGGCTTCTTTCCCGACAATCTCGCGCCCGTCGACGCCGCGATGTGGTATTACCAAGAGTTGGGCGATCGACTGTCGATGTACGAGACGCAACAATCGGGGTACGTCGACCGAGATTCGGTTCCGGAGACTCAACCGGAACCGTCCGGGTCGAAAAAAAGTACACGCCGGAAAACCAACAAAGCCAAAAGCACGTTGACCGAGGCAGCACGGTCAATCCAAAAGTGGACGCCGGAGGAGGAGTGCATATTGGCATCGGCTTGGGTTGACGTCTCCGAGCATCTTATCATTGGTAAAAAATTTATTTTTTCTAATATATTTATGTTTTTATTTATATATATTATATTTAATGGTGTCTAAAAAATTGTGTAATACATTTTTAAAGGTACGAAGCAAACGAAGGATGCGATGTGGGATCGTATCGAGGAGAAGTTCTTCACGGCGATGAAGAAGGACGGCTCCTACCGAACCCGGGACCAACTCACTTCCAAATGGAGCCACATCAACAAAAAAGTCTGAAAGTTTATCTGAGTTTACGAGGAATGCTCCTGGTCCCGGAGGAGCGGCACAAACGACGCCGATGTTCTCCGGCTTGCCACGACCCGGTATCAAGACGACGAGCACCAAGGCAAGGTGCCCATCGATCTTTGGAGGATTTTGAGTGTTCCCCAAAGTGGCAACAACTCAACAATCCCGACGGAGGATCGTTCCGGAAAAGATCCACCGTCGATGCCGAGGTTGAGGTCGACGAGACTATCGGTTCTACCCATCAAATCCCTCCCTTCAACGTTGCGGATTCCGATGACGAGGACCCCATTCCACGGCCGATCGGATGAAAGAAGGCAAAATCCATTGCCTCTGGTTCGGGAGGGTCCGCCTCTGTTTCCGCTTCTTCCCGTGACGAAATCGGCCGGGCAATGGTTGAACAACTTCGGATGTTCAATCTCCAAGAACAAGAGAGGTTGAAGCTAAAGGAGAAGGAGTTGAAGCTAAAGGAGCAGGAGACCGATATGAAAGTCATGCAAACTGACCCCGGGACGTTGTCGGAGTTTGGACTAATGATCTACGAGCAAAGAATGAGAGAGATCAAGGAGAAATATAATTTACCTTAGTTTTTTTTATTAATGTATCTTTTTTTAAATTATTGTCGCTTTTTTTTATTTAATTAATGTATTTTTTATTATTCGTGTTTCAATTTAGTTAAATAATAAATTAATTACATTTTATTAATTTAATTTTAGAAGATGTATATTTAAAAATGTAAAAAATGAAGGTTTGAAGCCCCAGTTTGAAGCCCCGGGGCTTCAAACCCATTTCAGTGAATTTGGGTGTAAGTTAAAGCTGACGTGGCAGAGAGAGAAAGTTTGAAGCCCCGGTTTGAAGTCCTGGGGCTTCAAACGTATTTCCAATGCTCTTAGAGCACTGCTAATACTCATCACGCCCGTCGGCGTGAACGGGCGTTTAACGCCACGGGGGCGCGAAACACCGCCCCCTCCGGCTTTAAAGGGGCGTGATCCGGCGTGCGTCAAACGAATGACGCAGCATCATTCGTCTCCCCCTCCCCCCTAACGGCTCTTTGAGCCGTTGCACCCCCCAATTCAAAAAAAAATTTATTATAAATTCAAACCCCACCTTCTCAATATCTCACACCATCTCCATCTTCAATCTCTTCTTATTCCCAATTTTTAAATTTCAAAATTCAAACCCCCCTTCCCAATTTTCAACATGAATCCTTCCGGCTCCGGCTTCTTTCCCGACAATCTCGCGCCCGTCGACGCCGCGATGTGGTATTACCAAGAGTTGGGCGATCGACCGTCGATGTACGTGACGCAACAATCGGGGTACATCGACCGAGATTCGGTTCGGGAGACTCAACCGGAACCGTCCGGGTCGAAAAAAAGTACACGCCGGAAAAGCAACAAAGCCAAAAGCACGTTGACCGAGGCGGCATGATCAATCCAAAAGTGGACGCCGGAGGAGGAGTGCATATTGGCGTCGGCTTGGGTTGACGTCTCCGAGCATCCTATCATTGGTAAAAAATTTATTTTTTCTAATATATTTATGTTTTTATTTATATATATTATATTTAATGGTGTCTAAAAAAATTGTGTAATACATTTTTAAAGGTACGGAGCAAACGAAGGATGCGATGTGGGATCGTATCGAGGAGAAGTTCTTCACGGCGATGAAGAAGGACGGCTCCTACCGAACCCGGGACCAACTCACTTNGTTGACGTCTCCGAGCATCCTATCATTGGTAAAAAATTTATTTTTTCTAATATATTTATGTTTTTATTTATATATATTATATTTAATGGTGTCTAAAAAAATTGTGTAATACATTTTTAAAGGTACGGAGCAAACGAAGGATGCGATGTGGGATCGTATCGAGGAGAAGTTCTTCACGGCGATGAAGAAGGACGGCTCCTACCGAACCCGGGACCAACTCACTTCCAAATAGAGCCACATCAACAAAAAAGTCCGAAAGTTTATCGGAGTTTACGAGGAATGCTCCCGGTCCCGGAGGAGCGGCACGAACGATGGCGATGTTCTCCAGCTTGCCACGACCCGATATCAAGACGACGGGCACCAAGGCAAGGTGCCCATCGATCTTTGGAGTATTTTGAGTCGTTCCCCGAAGTGGCAACAACTCAACAATCCCGACGGTGGATCGTTCCGGAAAAGATCCACCGTCGACGTCGAGGTTGAGGTCGACGAGACTATCGGTTCTACCGATCAAATCCCTCCCTTCAACGTTGCGGATTCTGATGACGAGGACCCCATTCCACGGCCGATCGGATGAAAGAAGGCAAAATCCATTGCCTCTGGTTCGGGAGGGTCCGCCTCTGTTTCCGCTTCTTCCCGCGACGAAATCGGTCGGGCAATGGTTGAACAACTTCGGACGTTCAATCTCCAAGAACATGAGAGGTTGAAGCTAAAGGAGAAGGAGTTGAGGCTAAAGGAGCAGGAGACCGATATGAAAGTCATGCAAACTGACCCCGGGACGTTGTCGGAGTTTGGACTAATGATCTACGAGCAAAGAATGAGAGAGATCAAGGAGAAATATAATTTACCTTAGTTTTTTTATTAATGTATCTTTTTTTAAATTATTGTCGCTTTTTTTATTTAATTAATGTATTTTTTATTATTTGTGTTTCAATTTAATTAAATAATAAATTAATTACATTTTATTAATTTAATTTTAGAAGATGTATATTTAAAAATGTAAAAAATGAAGGTTTGAAGCCCCAATTTGAAGCTCCGGGGCTTCAAACCCATTTCCAATGAATTTGGGTGTAAGTTAAAGCTGATGTGGCAGAGAGAGAAAGTTTGAAGCACAAACGTATTTCCAGTGCTCTTAGTGGTATAAGCTTTTTGTGGGGTTTGAAAGTACATCACTCAAAAAAAAGGAACAAAACAAGAAGAGAGAGAGTCCAGTGGGTCGAATTGAGAGAGGAACCTGTGGACTGTCGACTCCACTGCTCATTATTCAGACCTGGGATCGATTGCGACCATCGCTAGCGTCCTTCGACGGAAAACGGAAGGCGACCGACGAACGGCGAGAGAGCTTCACGAAGCAGACTCTGACGTGCTCCGGTGAGCGCAGAACCTCAGCATCGGGCAGAGGCAGAGCTACTCCAGAGACTGCTCAAGCTCATCTCCATTCTTCCTCTGTGGAGTTGGTAAGTCGAATCTAGGCATTAGATTCGCCCAGGTACACAACTCTTTATCCCTTGCTTTCGTAGCAATTTTTTTAGGGTTGTTTAATTCTGCTGCATTATTTCTGATTACCTAATTCCACTATAGTTTGTGCTCGTGTGAAAGAACAACGGGATTGAGTAAGCAATTTTTTGCTAACATAATAATCTTGGGTTGTTCGTGCGATTGCTTGACACACGTGAGCCAAATTTGGAAAATTTAGGACAAATTCTATGTGCCTCTGTGTTGCTGATTTTTTTCAGTTTTTATTCTCTTTTGTGGGTTTTTTTCTCCTTTGTGGTGATTTTTTGATTATTTTTTTCCTGTGTGGATATGTCTACTATGAATCAGTATGCTTTGACTCCTTTTAATGGAAAAACTGATTTTAGTATTTGGAAACAAAAATTGAAGTGTGTTCTTGTTCATCAAAAAGTTTATAGGGCTGTTAGCGATTTATATCTAGAAACAGACGCTAAAGAGAAAAGAGTTGAAATGAATGAAATTGCTTGTTCCATAGTTTATTTAAACTTTACTGACTGTGTGATCAGAAAAGTTGGTATTTTGGAATGTGCTAAAGATATTTGGAATAAATTTGATGAACTTTATACAAAAACTTCTTTGCCAAACAAGATTTTCTTACTTGAAAAATTTTTCAAGTTTGGATTGGATATGTCTAAAGACATAGAAGAAAATCTAGATATTTTCACCAAACTGATTTCTGATATTAAATTAACCGGTGATAAAACATATTGACGACTACACCCCTATTGCTCTTTTGAATGCTATTCCTGATTCCTACAGTGATGTCAAATCTGCAATTAAATATGGTAGGGATAATATTTCTCTTGATGTTGTTGTGAATGGTCTCAAGAGTAAAGAATTAGAGTTGAAAAATTCTAAGAGTGATAAAAATTCTTTGAATAAGTTTCAAAGCCATAAACATGCTAACAATGATAACTCAAATGTGAGAAGATTCAACCTGAGAATGGGTAAGTCTAGATCCAAATCTAAAACAAGAAAATGCTACAATTGCAATGAATATGGTCACCTCAGTAATAGTTGTTCTAAGCCTAAGAAAATTCAGCAAAAAGATCATGCTAATATGGCTAGTGAATCAAACAACTTTGGTGATGTGTTAATGATCAAAGATTACGCTTATTCAAACTCTATGCTATCTGATTATCTTTGTGAATCTGATTGGCTAGTTGATTCTTGTTGCACCTTTCATATGTCACCATTTAAAAACCTTTTTTCAAACTATCAAGAGATTGATAATGCTATTGTGTTCATGGCTAATGAAAAGAAATGCAAAGTTTTTGGAATTGGAGACATGTGTCTTAAATTTAGTTTTGGATCTATTGTGAACTTAAAGAATGTTAGACATGTGCCTGATTTGTCTTATAATTTGCTTTCTTGTGCATTTCTTTAAAATGAGGGTTTTGAGGGAAAATGGGGAAAAGGTGTTATGAAAATCATGAAGGTTTCAGTTTTTGTTTTCAAAGCTGAAAAGAAAAATAATTTATATGTGTGCAAAGCTGAACCTGTTTGTGAGCATGTTAATTCTGTGGTTGATAATTCTGTTCTATGGCATAAACGGTTGGGTCACATGAGTAATAAAGGACTTGAAGTATTGCATAAAAATGGACACTTGGGTAGTGATAAGCTTATGCATGTTCCTTTCTGTGAATCTTGTGTGCTTGGAAAACAAACCCGCGTTAGTTTTCCTAACCTGAATCCCGTTACTCGAACTAAGTGTTATGATGTGCTTGAATATTTGCATGCCGATGTGTGGGGTCCCGCAAGTGTTTCCACTCATGGAGGGAACCAATATTTTCTTTCCATAATTGATAATTATTCTAGGAAAGTTTGGGTCTTACTTTTGAAACAAAAATCTGAAGTTTTTGATAAATTTAAAAACTGGAAAGTTTTGATTGAAAACCAAACTGGAAAGTTTTGATTGAAAACCAAACTCGAAAGAAAATAAAAACACTTAGGACAGATAATGGCCTTGAATTTTGCAACAAACAACTTGATAATTTGTGTGTTACTTGGGGTATTAAAAGATACAAAACTGTTCCTTACACGCCTCAACAAAATGGAGTAGCTGAGAGGATGAACAGAACTCTTTTAGAGAGGGTGAGGGCTATGTTAGCTACTTCTGGACTTTCTAAAAAATTTTGGGGTGAAGCTGTTTGCACTGCTGCTTATTTGATCAATATGTCTCCATCCATACCTTTCGGAGGGAATTGCCTAGAATTTGCTTTCTCGGGTAAACCCTTAGATTTATCAAACCTGCGTGTGTTTGGTTGTGCTGGTTATGTGCATCAAATGAATGATAAACTCGAACCAAGATCTAAACTATGTGTTTTCTTGGGATATTCTGACGGGAATGTTGTTTTCAATGAAAATAATTTTCCTTGTTTGTCCTTGCCGATTCCCAATGTTGAAAATGTGGCTCCAAATGAGGTGGAGCAATTTCCTGTTATCATTCCTACTGATGTGCATGTAGAAACTAATGAACATGTTGATATGAACCATGATTCACACACTAATGAAGATGAGACTATTCCTAATGAGGTGGAGCATGATAGTGTAGAATCACATGTTGAAAATGATTTGCATGACTATCAACTTGCTAGGGATAGAAATACAAGAACCATTAGCAAACGTGCGAGATATGTTGATGACTATAATATGTCTGAGTTTGCTTTTCATGTGTTTGAATCCCTTGAGTGTGATGAACCTAAGACTTATCGTGAAGCATTAGAATCTAAATGTTCTGAAAAATGGGTTAGTGCTATGAAATGTGAGATGGATTCCCTTCGTGTTAACCAAACGTGGAAACTTGTGCCAAAACCTGAAAATTGTTTTCTCGTGGACTATAAGTGGTTGTTTAAAGTTAAGCAAAAACCTGAAAATGTTAAGTTTAAGGCTAGACTTGTGGCTAAAGGATTTACTCAAAAGGAGGGAATAGATTATGTAGAACTTTTTTCTCCTGTTGTCAAGTTCACCACAATTAGAATCATGTTGTCTTTAGTTGCTCAGTATAATTGGGAATTAAAACAAATGGATGTTACTACTGCTTTCTTACATGGTGATCTTGATAAAAATATTTATATGCACCAACCTGAAGGATTTGTTGATCCTAAGTTGCCTAATCATGTGTGCTTGTTGAAAAAGACTTTGTATGGTTTAAAACAATCACCTAGGCAATGGAACATTAAATTTGATAATTGCATGAAAAACTTTGGTTTTAAGAGAAGTAATGTTGATCACTGCTTGTACTTCAAGAACACTTTTTATGTTCCTGTTTTTCTTCTCCTTTATGTGGATGATATGCTAATCATTAGTCCTAGCTTAAAGTCTATTGAGCATGTTCAAAATTATCTTTGCAAAAATTTTGACATGAAAGCTTTAGGAGATGCTAGAAAAATACTTGGCATGAATATTGTTAGGGACATAAAGAAATCTACTCTTGTTTTAAATCAAAATTCCTACATTGATAAGATTTTGAGTAAATTTGCTATGTCTGATGCTAAACTTGTGGATGTTCCTTTAGCTGCTCACTTTGTGTTGAGTAAGGATATGTGCCCTAAAACTAAAGCTGAAATTAATTAAATGAAAAATGTGCCTTATTCGAATGCTATTGGTTCTGTGACTTATCTTATGATTAGCACTAGGCCTGATATTGATTATGCTATTAGTTGTTTGAGTAGATACATGTCTAATTCTGGTATGGCTAATGCTCTAAAATGGCTTTTGAGATACTTAAAATCTACTAGGAATGTTGGTTTACTTTTTCAAGAAGTGATAAAAGTGTTAGATTGATTGGCTATTTGGATTTTAACTATGCAAACGATAAGGATAATAGAAAATCCACTACTTCCTACGTGTTCACTTTGTGTGGTTCTGGCATTAGTTGGAAGTCTCAACTTCAACACATTGTTGCTTTATCTACTACTGAGGCTGAGTATGTTGCAGCCACAGATGCTTTTAAAGAAGCCATTTGGCTTAAAGGTCTTTTATCTGAAATATGCTTACTTGATAAGAATGTGGTTGTTTTTTCTGATAGTCAATCTGCCATTCAACTATGCAAAAATCCTGTTTTTCATGATAGAACAAAACATATTGATGTTAGATTTCATTTTATTAGAGACATAGTTGAAAAGGGCATTGTCATGCTGGAGAAAATTCCTACGGAGTCTAATCCAGCTAACATGGGTACTAAGTGTTTACCTGTTGAAAAATTTACCTTATGTCAAAAGATTTTAAACCTATCTCTGTGATTGTATATTGATCTTTTGTTCTTTTTTTAGTCTTTGTGATGTTGCTTAGTGAGTTATTTTTTGGCATGCTTTGTGATGTTGCTTAGTCTTCGTGACTTAAGAGTACTTAGTGAACTCTCCACCACTACGTGTGTTCTCATTTGTTGATTACACATTTAGTGGTTATTAGGCTATGATGAGTCCTGTGGTTCCTTGTCAAACTATGTGCACTACTTTGGGCCAAAGGTGGAGATTGTTAATTTATTTGGGTTGGCCCAAACATATTAATAATATTTGACACCTAACCCAGCAGCCCATTTACTTAAAGCCCAACCTTTATTCCTAACCTAATTAAGCTTACCTTAATTAGCTCCTAAATCTCTACCACCCTCCGAGAACGTGCCTGAACGTGGGAACACGTCGTTCTGTCCCCTGCAACTTAGTATATATACTGCTGTAAACCTCAGAAAGGGGGATCCGAATTCATTCTCTCTAAACTCCCTTGTAAAAGCACCCGTGCATTCTCTTATATTAATATAATTGGACTACAGGTTTTTCCACCTACAGTCCTACCGGTCATTTGAGTGTTTTTACCTTCTTGCTTTATCAAATCAAGTGAACTATTCTAGACCCAGTCTAGTATAGTTTACCCGGTTAGGTAATTTACACCATCAATAATTGTATCAGAATGTTAAACTTTTAAACTATAAACAAGCTTGTGCAAAACATTGGGTTAAAAAATGAACGGAACCGAAATCGAATATCCTAATCGACAAACAACAACAACAACCCAGTTAAATCCCACAAGAGTAGGGTTTGGGGAGGGTGTGTGTACGCAGACCTTGCCCCTACTCGAAAGTAGAGAGGCTGTTTCCAAAGAGACCCCCGGCTCAACGTCGAAAGTTGCATTGTTTGACTAACTGCTACTTCATTCATTAAAGAAGCGCAGACAATTTAGAGATCCATTTTGATTTATTCTATCACACCCCAAAGCCAAAAAATGGTGAAATTTTGGCTCCATCGGAGATGATGGAAAAGAATATCCTAATCGAATTGTCCAAAATCGAAATGATTGGAAAAGTAAAGGGAATTTGAGATCCCAATCCTAATAGCCCCAAGGCTTAAAAATGCAAAAAAAAAAGGCCGGGCTTCAAGATTATTTCCCGGGCCGGTCTTGACCCGACCCAAGGTCTCCATTTATATATAGGTGCCTACCTCTCAGAATCACATCAGAAATCATTCATCTTGAAGGGTTGAAGAGAGCGGGCGCGCGAGAGAGAGAGATTCGAAGAGCGTTTTCCGGTAATTCATTCGGCTGATGGGAAAAAGTATGGGAAGAATAGTGAAGAGGTCTAGGGTGCAATCCAGGACTGTATGTGCACATCCAGGTTTCATGTGTGGTATGTGTATAGAGTGTGGTGAGACGATGGAAGACGATGACTCAGGGGTTTCATTTGGTTATATGGGCAAGGTATTTCATCCCCAATTTTATGATTAGGTATAGGCTAATTCGTAAACAATCAATCTTTATTTTGATATTGGCTTGTGTTGCAGAAGTTGAGGCTGGCTGTTGATGAGGTTGCTAGGCTCCGCGAGAAGGACTCGAAGAACCTGATGCAGTGCAAGAAACTTTGTTTGGTTCTTGATTTAGATCATACACTGCTGAATTCAACTAGGCTCTCTGACATTTCACCCAAAGAAGAGTACCTAAAACATGCCATTCCTGGTCTGCCCTCCATTTATGTGCTTCTGTTGTTCTAAATTCTTTACTGCCCATATTCACATGTTTTCAGTACCAGATGGTATCCATATCTCCCTCATTACACTTGGAAATTAGCCATTTTAGAGTTGGGGAATTTGAAAATAGATTTAGGGATTTCATATGATGACAAAGTTGCATGATTTCAATAGTTGCATGACAACTTGATGTAAACAGATGCTTTGGAAGGAAGCTTATTTAGGCTGGAAAGGATTCATATGATGACAAAGTTGAGGCCATATGTGCACAAGTTTTTGAAGGAAGCCAGCGAGTTATTTGAGATGTATATACACAATGGGTGAACGGCCTTATGCGCTTGAAATGGCAAAGTTGTTGGACCCAAAAGATGTGTACTTCCATTCAAAAGTGATTGCACAAGGAGATTTAACAGTGCGACATCAAAAGGGCCTTGACAATGTTTTAGGACAAGAAAGTTCTGTCTTGATCCTTGACGATACTGAAGCGGTAAGTCATGCCGTGTTTCTTGAAATACTTGATGATACTGATTTCCAAAGTTTTGTAGCAGTTAAAGATTCTAATTTTTTTTTAATGAATAGTTCATCCATCATAATCTCTTTGGGGTGTTTTTCAGATTTTACAAATCCATTAAGATATTTCCCTGTCCTTTCACATTATACTTTGGCCAATGAATGAAGTAGGATAAATATACTACAGTTTTTTTTGTTTTTGTTTTGTTGCTAAAAATGGTTCTCCAGTGCATCAGGGAAGTAGGAGAAATATACTACAGTTTTTATGTTTTTGTTTTTGTTGCTAACAGTGGTTCTCCAGTGTGCTTTAAGAAAAGTTGCATGAGCTAACCTCTTCTTATGTTCTTTGAAGTCCGAACTCAACAATTTCTCTCTTGTAGGTATGGGGAAAGCACAAGGGGAATCTAATAAAAGTGGAGAGATAACATTTTTTTTGCTTCAAGTGTTCGCGGTTCGCCAATTCCGCCTTGATTGTGAATCGCTTTCACAACGTTGTGTTGATGAAAGCGAAGAAGAAGGAGCACTTGTGGCCATTCTCAAGGTTCTTAAGAGAATCCACAGTATATTCTTTGACCAGGTACCATATTAAAATGGATTCATTTTTGTTTTAATGATTTGAACTTCATTCACTAAACTGGTTTGCCTCTTTTTTTTTTTTTTCAGAAACATGGAGACGATATGCTGTAGACTGATGTGAGAGAGGTAAGAAGTGATTTGGAGCAGTCCTGTATAAGTCATGTAGGGTTGCTGATCGTATCAGCAAGCAAAATAAGCCCTTTCTGGTTCAAATTGAGCTGCGAAATAAGCAAGTCAAAAGTTATTTCACACACACTACTTGCTCTTGTTTGGGAGTTTGACACACGTATCACAGACCTTTCATTTATTTTTCTTTTGCATATAAGGAAAGTGGGAAAATACTGAGGAACTGGAATACTGGACAAATTAATACTCATAAAAGTGAACAAATTCTGAGGGACACCCCGAAAAGGAATGCTGGACAAATTACTACGATGTACTCTATACTACTCTGTTCGTCCCTAAATATTTGTCGAGTATTCATTTTCGGGACTTCCCTCAGTATTTGTCAACTTTTCTTATATGGAAAAGAAAAATAAATGAAAGGCCTATTATACCCTTACTTCCCTATTTGGTTGAAAGGTCTAAAGTACTCTCTCTCTCACACATCAATCGTTCCATATTTCCATTCCTCTTAATCCCTTAATCGACTCGCCCCATTCCCTTCATCTTCCTCGCTCATCTTTTATCTCTGTTCTCCTTCGTCTTCATCTCAATTTCTCCTTCCACTCTCATCTCCAATCTCTTATTTTTCTTAGCTTCCTCTTCGTCTCTGATTCCCCTTCCTCTCTCAACTCTCATCTCGAATTCTCCATCATCTCTCTCTCTCTCATCTTCAAAGACAATAATAGTGACAGATCGAAGTTTCTTTTTTATGGAAAACTGGATATGATTGGAGCTGGACTTCTTCTTTGTCGCCTGCGACGACTAAATGTCTTTGAAGTTTGAACGGGATCTCTTATCAAGATCTAGATCCCCTGCACCTAGATCTCTTTAAATCAAGATCTAAAATATCTTTTCTCAGTTATCTTTTTGTTTTGTTTTTTTAATTTGATGTGGATTGATCGATGGAGAGCTGTAGTTGGACGTTGGATTGATGGTGGAGGTCGTTGGGATAACGATGGATTTTGAGGCTTGGCGGCAAATCTTTGGCTACCAATTAACGCAAGAAGACATCGGGGCTTTGGGTTGCCACTAGCCAGCAAGATAAGGGTTAAGGCTTTAGGGGTATTTGTGTCTTTAGACACCTCATATGGTTATTATGCCACTTTGAAAGTGGACAAAAACTAAGGGGGAGAGGGAGTATACTTTTATTGTAGTTTTCATTCTTTTTTCAAATATATTTCAATATATAAATAGATAAAATTAAAATCAATTCTTTAATTTTAGCGTGTGATAAAAAAAAATAAGAAATTTTTTTAGAGGTATGAAGAGTTATTTATGATGTACACAAAGTGCTATAAAATAAAACTCACATCCTAAGGCAGATCAGGCTCAAGATTGCAGAACGGGCATTTACAACTCTTACTACTCTCTTCGACCTTGTGTTTGGGCTATAATTTCGGAGTTGAAAGTTGGAAGAAACTGGAAAGAGTTGGAAGAAGCTGAAAGAGGTTAGAAAAACTTAGAAGAAGTTGGAAAATGTTCAAAGAATTCAAGTGCTGAAAAGTCATTTAATTAAATTATCACCTAAATAAATATGCTTGAAAACTCTAATTGTGGATAAAAAAGAATTCATCTTTGTTGTATTTGAAATGATATGCTATAAATTTTAGATTTCTATTGGTATTCTATATATAAATAAATTTTTAAATCGTTGTTAGAAAAAAAATTGGAAAGAATAAGAAAGGCATTCGAAAGAATTAAAAGAAATTAAAAATTATAATTTTTTCAAGAACAATGCTTTCAAGTTTGATTTCTAGGCCCAATTCTATGCTCCCAATTAGGGGTGAGCAAATACCGAATCGATACCGAAATTTTTCGAAAAAACCGAGAATACCGAACCGAAAAATACCGAATCGAAAAAGTATCGAGAAGAAACCGAACCGTACCGAACCGAATGACCGGTACGGCATTTGGGGACGGTACGAGGTGACTTCCCATACCGAAAATCCCGAACCGAACATATATACTAAAATATTATTAAAAAAATAATACCCCGGAATAATATTTTTATATTCCTTCACTAAATAATAATTTTTTTAAAAAAAAGTTGGTTCAAGTTCTATTATGTGTAAATTATACTTTTATTTGAGTTTTAATTTTTGTGTTTGAACATAAAAGTATTCACAAAGATTCAAAATACTCCTTTGTTGTCGACTTGTCGTTCATTTTTTTAGTTTGTGAAATATAAACTAAGCTTTGATACACATTTCTTGCATTTAAATGTTCATTTTATTTAATCTTTCATGTTTTTTTATTTAAATTCACTTTTGATTTTAAAAAATAAAGGGACATTGTTAAATTTTAAGGTGTAAAGTATGTAAGTATATTCGTCGCGATTTATACCGAAACCGATACCGAACCATCCCGAACCATATCGAACCGATATTTCGGGATCGGGATCGGTACGGAGTAAAATCCTATACCGAACCGAAATAGTTGGTACGGTATCGGTACGAACTAAATACCGTACCATACCATACCGTACCATGCTCACCCCTACTCCCAATCCTTCCATATCCATCCAATTTTGTAAAACCCATTTCATAGAGCAAATAGATTCTCCGCCTCTGTCTCCGCCCCCGCCAGCAAAAAACAATCGCCTCCGCCGCCGCGCCGATTCATTAACATAAATAAAGGAGATACTTTCAGTCTCTCTAATGGCATCCTCTGCTTGCTCTAGCTTCCACATCTGTTCTCTCGCACGCCATTCCCAATGCCTCCCAACTCTACCTCCTCCTACCCCCTCCGCCGCCGCCAATGGACCTTCCCCCTTCACCAAACTGAAAACATTGCACTCAAACAGAATTACGTTTCTTCCTATCAAATTCTCATTATCTCCAATTACCGCAAATCGCTCGTCGGCCTTCGCCACAGCGGCGGCGGCAAGGAGCGGCGGCAGCGGAAGTGGCCAAATCGATAAGAAAGAAGAGAGCATGGAAGAGGATGTAGAGGAGGAACTGCCGTGGATACAAGAGAAGGCATTGGACATGGTTGAATTCACCAGTTCCGTCACTCAGGCGATCCCCGGGCCTCGCGTTGGTCGGAGCTCTTTGCCGTGGATTCTAGCTGTGCCGTTGGCTTACTTTGGCGTCACTTTTGTTATTGCCTTCGTTAAGACCGTCAGGAAGATGAACTCCCCTAGAGCAAAGCGTCTCAAATTGGTACTCATTTTCTCACTAGTTTCTATTCCATTTTTTCTTTCCTTATTAATTAACTTGCAGTTTTAATCAATGTATGCTTTCTTTTATTTGATAAAGCAGCAAAAAATATGTTTTGTAATGCTGGATTAATTATTTTCTGGAATGCGAAAGTTAAGTCTGGAATAGATCATGGCACCAAGAATAATTTCTCAATGGGTTGGTGTTTGCTTGATTATGAGGGAAAAATGAATGTTCAAGATGAGCGCCATTAGGGTATTTTCTCTGCAAATCATGTATCATGTACAATAACAACAACCCAGTTGAATCCCACAAGAGTAGGGTCTGGGAAGGGTGTGCGTACGCCGTACGCAGACCTTACCCCTACTCGAAAGTAGGGAGGTTGTTTCCATAGTGACCCCCGGCTCAATGTTGAAAGTTGCATTGATTGACTTATTGCTACTTCATTAATAAAAGAAGCGCAGACAATTTAGAGATTCATTTTGCTTTATTCCATCACACCTCAAAGCCAAAAAATAGTGAATTTTTGGCCAAAAAATCATGTATCATGTATGCAAGATAATACTCCGTAGAGGGGAACTCCCTGCAACATTGTTATTCTTCCAGTTTAAGAAAAAGATAGTAGATAATTGCTGGACATACCAAGGGAATCACCATTAACATGTCATTATTAAGTGCTATGTAGCATCTTATCATTTCTGTATCACATGAGGTCCAAGCCTAAACATATTTGGGTATTTTACTGCACTTCATTTACTGTGTATATAAGTGTGAAGTGGAGTCACCTTCCATTATGCTTTTAGTTGATATGTAAAGATTTCATAATTTCTAATTGTATTGTATTCAAGTGTCTTTGCTTGACAAGAGCCATATTTTCAGGTTAACAAAAATGTTTTTCTATGCAAATCAATCGATGAGCTGTTTGAGAAAGGACGACAGCACCTTGATAATTCAGAGTTGGAAAAATTGATGCAAAAGGTAATTTATAAGCATGCATTCATGATTCTAACCTATCTCTATTGAAGTCCTAGATATACTCATATACTACAATCTAACTGGCAAAGTGGCAATTATTCACTCAACAATTTTCTGTTATCCTTTTTCATTGTACTTGCATGATACGTTATTGTATACTTGTATTGTTTCAAAGCGTTTTTGTTTAATTTTTGCATGGATGGTTTTGTAAACCTTATTTATCCATAACATCCGGACCAAGGAGGCAATGACTGCGTTTTGATGTCAATCTGCTCAATCTTTTTTCTACACTCAGAGAATTGTGTTTTCTGTGCTTTCTTTGTACGCTGAGCAAGTAGTATCTACATTGCTGATAAATTCTGACAAAGTTTGTGTGCTTTTGCAGACAAATTTTGATATGGAGAGTATTTTGCGCAAATACATTCGATATGCTTTAAATGAGAAGCCATTTAACCCAGATTTGGTACCTGATCTAATTCAACTTAGGAAGGCCTCACAATTAAATGATTTTCAAGTAGCTGGAGTTCTGAATGAAATCTCAAGACGTATTGTGAAAGACAAAGGTAATAGAATAATATAATTTGATCAATCATTTTTAATTTATATTTTCACATTCTTGGGTTTATTTTTTGCCAATATAAAATCCATGTAGCCCATGTTAGAAGACTAATTAGTACTATCGTTATGTAGAGAGCCTAAAATCATACAATTCAACCAACAACCAATGCAGTTTATTCCCACAAGTTTTGTTTTTTTTTGGTGGGGTGGGGGTGGGGGGGGGGG